CGGGGAGCGAGTGGTTCGCCCCCTTCATCTACTGGTTTCGCCAAGGGGACAACGTACACTTTAGTGCTCCTGTGGCCACAAACGACCCGAGAAGACCAGCGAAGGCAGAGACCAAGGGCCGATTCCACCTCCTCGGGAACCGCAGGGACGACTGCTCCCTGAGCATCAGAGACGCCAGGATGAGCGACTCGGGAACCTACTTCTTCCGAGCGGAAAGAAATCATCCTCAGAAATACACTTACCGAAATACGCTGAACTTGCAGGTGACAGGTATGGCAGGGCGCCCAGTGAGGACCGTGGGCCGTGGAGACCCCCGCCCGCGCCCCTGTTAGAACAGGAACAGGACACAGGAAGACCCCGTGCTTGGAGTCTTGGGGTTTGAGGGTTCAGAGGAGGCACAGGCCCCGGGGGGAGCTTGGGCCCCGAGGCACTGGTCCCTCTTAGGGTCACACTCTGGGTCCCCACCCCCTGGGGCCCAGGCATCTCCCTCTCTCCTCCTCAGCCCTGACAGAGAAACCCAACATCCACTTTCTGGAGCCTCTGCAGTCTGGCCGCCCCACGAGTCTGACCTGCAGCCTGCCAGTCGTCTGCGATGGGGCAAGATTTCTCTGGTTCTCCTGGGCGGGGGACACCCTTGATGCAGTGGACCCAGAGACGCTCCACAGCTCGGTGCTCACCCTCACGCCGAGGCCCCAGGACCATGGCACCAACCTGACCTGTCAGGTGAAACTCCAAGGAGGTCAGGGGACCACACTGGAGAGGACCGTCCAGCTCAATGTCTCCTGTGAGTGTGGAGGGACGGCCGGGTCCCTGAGGGCACTGGTGGCAAGAGGAGGGTCCGGTCCTGGCATCCGTTTCCCAGAGGAGACTGGGGTAAGTAAAGCCCCATCCCTTCCTGGGGTAAAGGACTAATGCCCTCCCTGCCCTTCGCCCCATTTTTCCTTCCCAGATGCTCCACAGCTGATGACCATCAGACTACTCCAGGGGAACTCCACGGGTAAGAAAGGTGTCTCTTCCCTGGGGCTGTGATGGGAGTGGGTCCCAGCCAGCCTGGGGCTCAGGGCTTGGAGATGAGACCGTCCCTCACTCCTCAGCCCCCTGGCTCTGGGCGCGCCATCCACCCACCCTCCCAGCAACATCTCACTCCCACGGATCCAGTATTACTTTTGGCTGCTCCCTTTCCTTTTCTTTAGTTTTTTATTTTATTTTTAATTGTGGTAAAACTCACATAAAGTGAAATTTGCCATCTTCACCATTTATAAGGGCACAGCTCAGCAGGATGAAGGACCCAATCCGCAGAGCTCTTCCCATCTTGCAGAACCAAAACTGCACACGCAGCTGACACGACCTCCCCACCCCTCCCCCTCCAGCCCCTGCAAACCAGCACTTCACATTCCGTGTCTGCAATGTGGACTACTCCAGGTTCTGCTCCCCTTTCTTGAATCTCTGTCTGTCCTCGCCTCCTAGGATAGTCGCCCATGCTCACCTCTGACCTCATCATTCTTTTCCAGGAGCGTTTTGTGTTCTCACTCCCGCCCTGGAGCCCGTTCCAACATCTCCCCACTTTCCTGGGCGGACTTATCCCATCCTGAGTCTCCACCTGCAATCCCATCCCCATCCTGACCCTGTCCTGATGCCTCCCACTACTTTATACATCAGGCAGCAATCTGCACACTTAGTCATCCCTTGCTGGTGCCTCTCAGCTGGGCTCCCATCCCCCACTGAACCCGGTTGTGGTCTGGACATCACTACACATCGCCCTTTCTCACCAGCTGCTCCCATGAGTCAGTGAGTCTCAAGAGCTTCACTTCAAATCACTTCCCTCTTTCCTTGCCCTTGGCCTCAGACACAGCTCCAGTCTTGCTGGACCCTGGACCATTGCCTCAGTCTCCTCCTCAGCCTATCTGCCTCCTGTCGAGTCTCTCCCATTCAGGTCCCACTTGGCCCCAGCAGGGTCTTCCTCGACTTGGTGTTGATTCTGTATTTCCCCTACTCACATTTCCAGTAACCCCAGAGAAGAGCCCGATGCCCTCAGCCTGCCACTCAAGGCCCCAGCATATCTGACCCTGCCTTCTCTGCCACTGTTATGGTGTCTTTGCTGCTCCTGGTCCTCCCTGCCAAGATGCAGGCACAGATACCTTTCCCCTCATCTTCCACGTGGTCTCTACTGTTGGAACATCTTCATCTAGGCTGCTCACCCACTTCTTATCCTGCCAACCTCAGACCAGCTCTCTTTTTTTTCTGGTAGCCTGACCACCAGGGTCTTTGCCTCTTTAGCCTCAAATAAGCCATCCCTGGGACTTGTCCCATGGCCCGCCTTTCTCCTCCCAGCTCTGCAGGGAGCGTGAGGGAGAGACAGCCCTCGCAGCTCCACCCACATGGCTGTGTCTGTCTCACCCAGACCTGAAGAGCTTGAGCGATGGCACCTCCCTCCCGGTCCTGGAGGGTCAGTTCCTGCGCCTTATCTGTGTGGCTGACAGCAACCCTCCTGCTGTGCTGAGCTGGCTCCAAGATGGAAAAGCCCTGAGTCCCTCCCAGCCCTCAGCACCCGGCGTCCTGGAGCTGCCCCATGTGGGGGCTGCAGATGGAGGAGAATTTACCTGCCAAGCTCAGAACGTGCTGGGCTCCCGGCATGTCTCCATCAGCCTCTCTGCGTGGAGTGAGTTGCAGGACAGGTGCTGGGGGCAAGCAGCCTGGTCAGGTGTTTGGGCTATGGGAGGGTCTGGGGACAGAACTTTACCCGCCTCTCCCCTTCCCCAGAAAATGCCCCCTCCTGCAGCTGTGTGTGTGAGGAGCAGCAGGGCTCCTGGCCCCTGGTCCTCACCCTGATCCGAGGAGCCCTCATGGGGGCTGGCTTCCTCCTCACCTACGGCCTCACCTGGATATACTACACCAGGTGAGCATGCCTGTCCCCCTCCAGGGAATTCTGGTGACTAGCTCCCGAGTTCTAGGTGGCGCTGAGCTGTCCTGTTCTGCCTGGAGCTGAAGTGCCCAACTCTCTGACCTGAGACCGTGTTGGTTCTGCAGGTGTGGAGGCCACTAGGGAGCAGGGCTGAGAGGTGTGACTGAGCCTCCTTCCTTCTCAAGACGGGACTGAGGTGTGGACCCGGAGTCCGGAGGACAGACACGGGGACATCGCCGTCAGCTTCTCCCTGGAAACTCTCCACTCCAACCCTGTCTCATTTGTACCCACGAGATTTTAATTTGTGGAGGTGACTGCGTGACAACACAGAGCGTCAATACCACTGAAAGGAGACTGTTATTAGTGACATTTTCCCAGAGTGGCTGTCACGTCACGCGGGGTAGGGCCAAGCAGGAAGCGCCAGGTTCAGGAAGCAGGAGCTCCTGCAGGGAAGGCTCAGCCAGAGCCTTTCTTGGGGTTTCCATGGGAACGGCGATGCTGGGCAGGGAAATACTTTAGGATCTGCTAGCTTGAATAATTCTGGTGGGCTTTGGGCTATAGGGGTGGTGTTAAATAGCCTGTTACCTGTTCATGGATGACTTTGGGTCGGGGAAGTAGTGGCTTTGTCGTGTGAGGGGTAGATAATGGGGGGGGGGTTGGGGATTATGGGGTAGAAACTGGTCGGTTTGCATTTGAGAAAATGAGCTCCCAGCAGAGTTTTTCTGTCTGGAAGACTTGGCTGACCCTGGGAGGCAGTGTCCTTCCCAGGCCAGCAAGTTTTTTAAGATGTCAAAACATCCTAAGAGACAGAAAATAAAACATGGTTATCGCATACACACCCCGACTGCCTGCTGCATTGTTTCTGCAGTGCCATGGCCAGCCTGCCGCTCTGCCTCTGCTCTTGGTCCTGTTACACCCTGCCTTCCCGCCCTGTTTCTCTCCCTCCATCCCTAGCTCTGCAAAGGGAATCTTGAGGCTTATTTTCTCATCACCCAGAAGTTACCTGTTTCACACTCAAGTTTCTGGTCCCCAAAACTTCCCTATCAACGTGGACATCCACACACACTAGAGTCAGGAACACAGCTTTTCTTTTTTGGTTTAAAGTTACTAACCTCAGTGGGGGAGGGTAATAGCTCAGGGGTAGAGCATGTGCTTAGCATGCACGAGGTCCTGGGTTCTATTTCCAGGACCGCCATAAAAAAAATTAATGAATGAATTTTTAAAATACTAAAAAATAGTTACTGACCTCATAATAAATAGTATAAAATGTCACATTTCATTATTTAAATGTTTCTAAGCAATATAATAATACTAAAAAATCAATCTTGTCATTTACTGTCTCTGTAGGAGTTTGCAGAACAAATTATATCTTCATCTGGCATTATTTTTGGTTGGTCGGGTTCAACTTCTGGTTTAGTCATCTTTTTTTGATGCCAGACTGAAATTGAGCAGAATATGCAAATCTAAAGAGTACAATTAGATGAATGCTTACACATGTACACACCCCGCTTCTACTATCAAGTCAACAGATGGATTCTTCCCACCTACCCCTGGTCAGGCCACGCTATCAGAAAGAAGGGGGCTGGGCTGGGGTTGGAAGAGTGAGGAGCAGTTCTCACATCTCATGTCAAGGAGAACGAGGTGGGCGGCTCAGATGGGGATGTGCTAAGAAGTGAGACAGCCTGGAAGGTGAGGGGAAAGGCACCAATGTCTGCACCTGGGCAAGGAGGACCAGGAGCGACAGAACGTGATAATGGTGGATGAGAACACAGGGTCAGGTATGATGGCGCCCTGAGTGCCAGGCTGTACATTTTCTGTCCCTATAGAGCCAACTTTTTTGTTTCCTCTCAATGTTATGTTTTTCAGATTATCCATTATTTTACATGTATCGAGAATTCAGTTTTGGTTTTGGTATCGTTTTTGCCTTTAACATAGTATTTTATGTGTGAATGTACTTCCAGTTTTGTATCTGCTCTAAAATATGATAACATTGCATTTGTTTCCAATTTTTGGCTTTTCAAGATAATTTTAATGTGAATTTCGTGATTTCAAAAAACAGGAGAGTGAGCACTTTTTCCCTGGTGGGTATGGAACTGCTTCATCATAAGGTAGGCATCTGTTTAGCTCTAGAAGGTACCAACAGAGTTCTCCTGAGCAATCAAATAAATTTACATCCCACCGTCACATGTGGGAGTTCTGATCTCTCTTCACCCTGGCAGTGCTTGTATCACCTGCATGTTCAGTTTTCAACACTGCAATCCGTTTGCTGCAGTCTTTCATTGCCTTTTAAACTTGCGTTTCCCTGATGAGTAACGACATTTAGCCCCCTGACTGTCTTCTTTGGTAAAATGCCTCTTTTGACTCGTGCCCATTTAAAAATAAAAAGTGTACGTTTTCTTATTATTGATTTTTTGAGGTCTTTATTCTGGCTATGTGCCCTTTAAATTATGACCATCCTTCCCCTCCTCCTCTCTCTCTCTCTTTTTTGCTGGAGTGTGAAAAAATAATTGAAATACCCTTGTCATTCTTTTCACGTATGTGCGGTGGTCTTCCTGTCTAATTAAGAAATCTTTGCGTCTATCAATAGCTTTTCAAAATTGAAGTACAGATGACACACACAGTTATGTTAGTTTCAGGTGTGCAACAGAGTGATCCGACACCAAGTACATTACAACATGATCGGCATGATAAGCGTAGTAACCATATAAAATGATTGCTGTATTATTGCGTATATTTGATTACTGTAGCTTTGTAGTATAGTCTGAAATTAGGGAATCTGATACATCCAGCTTTGTTCTTCTTTCTCAAGATTGCTTTGGCTCTTCTGGGCGCTGTTGGTTTCATACAAACTTGAGGATTATTTGTTCTCGTTTTGTGCAAAATGCCATGGATATTTCAATAGGGATTGCATTGAATCTGCAGATTGCTTTGGGTAAAATGGACATTTCAAGAATATTAATTCTTTCAATCCATGAGCATGGTATATTTTTCCATTTCTTTGTTCCCTTTTTAAATTTCTTTCATGAGTATCTTATAGATTTCAGACTACAGGTCTTTCTCCTCCTTCGTGAAATTTATTCTGAGGTATTGTATTCTTTTTGATGCAATTGTAAATGGGAGTTGAAATTTTTTCTTTTGGATAGAGTCCTATGAATGTATAGAAATCTCCAGGTTACTGCATATTAACTTTGTCTCAGGCAGCTTTACGGAATTCATTTATTCATTGTAATAGTTCTTTTGGTGGAGTCTATAGAGTTATTTATTACGGTACATTGCCTGCAGACAGCGACAGTCTCACTTCTTCCTTTCCAGTTTGGAGGCCTTTCATGTCTTTTCCATTTCTGACTGCTCCAGCTAGGACTTTGAATAGTGCTGTGAATAAAGTGGCCCGAGTGGGCGTCTTTGTCTAGTTCCTGGCCTTAGAGGGTTTCAGCTATCATTACTGACTGAGCTACTAGGTGTGGGTTTGTCCTTTGTTATGTTAAGGCATGTTCAGTCTGCGCCCACTTTGTTAAGAGGTTTTATTTTTCTGTCACGAATGGATGTTGAAATTTGTCAAAACCTTTTTCTGCATCTGTTGCAGTGATCATATGGTTTTTATCTTTTATTTAGTTAATGTGCTGTATCACATAGATTAATTTGCCTGGAATATCTTTTTCCATCCCCTGACTTTTATTCTCTGTGTATCTTTAGGTCTGAAATGAGTCTGTGTAGGTAGCATATATATGAGTTGTTTTTTTAAATCCATTCAGCCACCTTATATCATTTTCTTGGAGTGTTTAGTCCATTTACATTATAAACAATTATTGATAGCTATGTGCTTTCTAACATTTTGTTAATTGTTTTCTCATTATTGTTTTTTTTCTCAGTTCCTTTCTTCTCTTGCGCTCTTCTCTTTTAATTGGATAACTTAGTAATACAAGCTCAAATCATATTACACCAGGCTGACATCATCTACCACAAGAGTAGATTTTGGGTTTTGTGGTGCAAATCATACCATCAGCCTTGCATCCTGCTTAAATTTTAATATCCACAGAAGATAACTGGATCTCCTATGTCTCATAAGTACAGACAACCCAAACTGCCAACCCAACACAATATGTGGGGACTTCCTGGATGTGATGGGTGACTGTCAGAGGCAAGCTGATGTCCTTTCCCCCAGTACGACACAAAGACTTCCTTCCTGCATTGTCCCAGCACTACACACAAGTGTGTTTTGTGTACTACTCTTCACTCAAGTATCGGGGACAGCAGGAGATAATGGTCCTCCAGGACAGGAAATAGCTTAAGTCAGATACTAGGCACTATGTTACAAAAACTCACCATCCATCCCTAACATAGAAAGTCTTTTCTTGGACGTCTCTCTCCAATGCCCATGGTGCTGGGGACGAAGATCATCTCCCAAATCCTCACCCCACTGTCATGGGGTCTAGAACTTTCAACAACGCTTTCCCTCTCCTCCACGAGAGGGAGCCTCCTGGTTCACTTTTATCATGTGTCATTTTAGTTTCCTCTTCATCTCATCCTCCAAAAATTTATACAAACAAAACTATCATTAGTATTTTCACATCATGTGAATATCACCTCAATAAAAAGATTATTACTTTGTTTTTAAAAATACATTTATACTCTACACACTCCTTTCACTGGTATGAACTCTGTTTCTCTTCTCGAGTGTGAAGATGGTTGCTTCACTTCTCCAATTCAATTGTTTGGGTTGTTTTACTTTTATTAGGTGGGCCAGCCTGGCCTCTTCCCTGGCCTCAGGGCCCACCTTTCCTGGCACAGGGTATGGGGAGATTTCCTCTTCTGCCTTTCCGTCTCTACCTTGTGGCTTTGGCTGCAATTTCCTGTCCTCTCACCCACCCCATCTGTTTCTGACTCCCAGCCTACAGGGCAGAGTATGTGGGGTGAGGGGAAGGAGGCCATCCCTGGGCAACTACTGAAATCTCCAGCTTGAGAGTTGCCTCTGCTGTCAATGGTAGGAAGGCCACAGGGGACCAGGATGGTGGAGGGGAGCTGGCACTGCAGGCGTCTCTGGCCCTCACCCCAGGGAACAAGTGACCTGAAGCATTCTGCCTTCTCCTGCGCCTGACAGCCTGGAGTCCCAAGACTCACTGCAGCCAGTGCTCTAGGGGCCACGGAAGAAGAAGATGGAAATAGAAAGTATAATTGCCAAGGTCAATTTCAGCTCCTCAGTTTCTCCCAGTGTAACTGCTCTCTGAACACCAGAGGAGCCCAGCTGGGCATCAGGGGGGACATATTTTGAGAAGACTTGGTATAATATATACCTGTTGACCTAAGGAGTCACTGTGAGAGTGACCAGTGCGACAATTCTCCAAGCGACAGCAACAGAGGTAGAGACAGGTGGTGGCACAGGTGGAGTTAGAATGCAATCACCATTAATGCATGGTTTGGAAGGGACCCTGGAGTCAAATGGAAGGAACAACCCACTAACTTCTCTCAGACAAGTGCTACGTTCTCCCCTCGGGGACCTGAGACCTGTGGCTGCCCCATGGTCACCTCCACTCTCCTCCTTGTCTCAGTGGTCACTTTGACTCCTTCTCTTGGAGGTTACCTTTACTTCTTGTCATCAGGTGTCCTGCAGATGCAGGGGACCCTGCAGATTCTATTTTTAGAGCTGCAGTAACCACAGAGGGAACCATCACCTTGGCACAGCCTGTGAGAGCTGGGATAGGGTACCCAGGTCCTGTGAAGGGAAGACTTGTGGGTGTCCAGATCCTAGGGCAGGGTGTCCAGGTGCTGTGGAGGCAAGACCTCCTAGGGATAGAGGCCAAGGTGTGGACTAAGGGCAGAGGCAGTATGGGTGGTCAGAAGATTCTGGTAGGTTCTCCAAGCCTAAGACAGTTTGGAACTTCAATTGTTATATTTTGTATGTGCTGAAAAATAAATTCACTAAGGCATTGTGTAAGAAAAAGAAAGCAAAACAAACAATGCTGCTACGAAGATTCTTGACTGTATGTGTGGTGCACATGGGAAAGATTTTCTCTAGATGGTCATTATCTGA